AGCCCCTAGTAGGCTCTCGACTCATATGTGTTTAAGTGAAACATTTGTTTTGCTTTGGTTCTGGTTCCTCGTTGGCTGTAGAGGATGTATCTGTGTACTACACAAATAACACAACTGAAGCTGTGTATAGAATCGATGTGCCATCAAGCACTCTTGCTAACCTGCCCATTTAACTCTTTTAACTCTATCGTAGAGCAGTTTGCTAATTTTAGACTTCGGACTGCAGATTGAACCGATTAGCCACAGCTGGAGGGAAGATTAAAAAGTAATCACCAAGGGCAGCCCAGGTGGCTCAGCGGTTTAGCGCCACCTTCAGCCCAGGGCCTGATCCTGGAGACCTGGAATCGAGTCCCACGTCGGGCTCCCTGAATGGAGCCTGCTTCTCCTTCTGCCTCTCTCTCTCTCTCACACCAATAAATAAAATCTTTAAAAAGAAAAAAGTAATCACCAAAATTATCTAATGTTCTTGGTAAAGGAAAGTCTGTTGCATTCCAAAAAGGGAACCTTTTGCCTAACTTACTTTTTGGTTTGAGTATTCATGTTTAGCAAAAATCCTAATTTTTCTGTGCACTTTGAAAAAAAAATAGATGCCTTTTTTCTTTCCTTTTGGACAATATGACTATAAAAGTGTGGTTATCCTGGACTACCAGTGTCCAGTAGAAATTTAATTTGAGCCACAAATGTGAGCCACATAGGTAATTTAAGATTTTTAGTGGCAGACACTTAAAAATATGAAAAGCAACAAGTGAAATTAATTTTAATCTTATTTTATTATACTGAAAATGTTCTGTACCCAATTCTCATGTGGGTGAAGTGGGTCAGAAGTTCCCCACACCAACAAGCAATTCTCAGACACCAGCAGGGTATCTGAGAATTCAAGTTAATCTCCCTGGAGATAGTATAAGATCCCACAGGCAGAAGGCTCAGCCCCACAAGACCCCTCCACTTCAGATGCCAGTCACCAGCCCTGGAGGTAGCTACAGATTGGAAGTTCCAATGAACACCTCCTTGGGTTTCCATTAATTTGCTAGAAGAGGGATCCCTGGGTGGCTCAGTGGTTTAGCGCCTGCCTTGGTCCAGGGGGTGATCCTGGAGTCTCAGGATCAAGTCCCACGTCAGGCTCCCGGCATGGAGCCTGCTTCTCCCTCCTCCTGTGTCTCTGCCTCTCTCTCTATGTCTATCATAAATAAATAAATAAATCTTTAAAAAAATTTAAAAAAATAATTTGCTAGAATAGCTCACAGAAGTCAAGAAATCCATTTGCTTACTAGATGATCAGTTTATTATAGAAGGATATAACTCAGGATCTGCCAAATGGAAGAGATGCATAGGGCAAGTTATGGGGCAAGGGTATGGAGATTCCATGCCCTTCCCAGGCATGTTGTTTTCCCCAAATCTCCATGTATTCACCAGCCTGGAAGCACTCTGAACGCCAATTCTTTTGGGTTTTTATAAGGCTTCATAATACAGGCATGATTGATTAAATCATTGGCCATTAGTGATGGCTTCAATCTCCAGGTCCTCTTTCCTCCCTGATCAGGGATGAGACCAAAAATTCCAACCCAATCAGTGGGTTGGTTCCCCTGTCAACCAACCCCTTTTCCTACCAGTCCTCTAAATTCACCGCATTAACATAACAAAAGGCACCGGTACAGATCTCTTAGGCAATACCAAGTGTTTTAGGGGCTCTGTGCCAAATATGGGACAAAGATCAAATATATATACATATTATAAATCACAATATCATAATATTTAATTCAAGATATCCAAATGTTATCATTTTAGCATACAATCGATTATAGCCTTCTATTCATGCGATATTTTACATTCATTTTTGTGTTAAGTTTTTGAAATCCAACGTGTATTTTACGCTTAACAGTATATTTCAGTTTAACCTTAAATGGCTCATCATTCTGTACAGCACGATGCTAGTTAGCTAACATTCCCTGTGTTTTTTCTATGTGTTATGTGCTTTACCTGCATTCTGTCAATTAATTCTCACAACTCTGCAGTTGATACTGTTGGGCTGTGTTTACAAATGAGCAGATTTAAGGAGCTTAGGTTATTTTCCCAAGGACAGCTAGTGGGTGTGGTGGAGCTGGGCCTGGGCCATAAGGCTTGGATTTCAAAATAGTGTACTGAGCTAAAATGAAAGCCATCACAAGAGGCGGTATGGAAGATTCTAAAGCATTTACGAGAGGATATTGAAGATTAGACACGGGTGGAGGCTGCTTAACAGCAGGTCACAAGGTGTCTGGAAACATGTTTGAAAGAAGGAAACTTTTTTTTTTTTTTTTTTTTTTTGAGGAGGAGGAGGAAACATTTTGAAACAAAATGTTGGGGGAAGGAGTACTATTACTTTACCCATTAAGATGCTACCATCCAGACCCCTTGCAGTTCATTTTTCCCTTGCCAGAATGTTTGGCAACCATTCCATTGCCACATACTTAGAACAGAGACTTCTCTTCCTTCCATTTTAAACTTCCATCTGCTACAAGAAGTTTGGGTAAAAGTATACGCTATGGTGACTGGTATGAATTAAGGCTAGAGTCTCTGAACAACCCTCATGCCATGGCTTTGTTATAAAGGTCTGTAAAATATTATCCTGGTGTCATGGATTATACAAATGTGCACAAATGGCAGTTTCCTCCTTTTCTTTCACAGAGTGTTAAAAATGAGTAAAATATGTTTCCCATTGCACTTCCCTTGTGCTTGGGGACTCAATGAACTCATTTTAAGTTCCCACATCTTTATAAAAATGTTTTGTTTTACTGAAATATGTTTTTGATCAAGAACATAATTTCACGATTGCGTGCATGTTTCTAAAACCAATATATATATATGGAACAAGTGCATGGAGGAGGGCTCCAGCTCTGGTGACTGATCCGAGGACTGGGTATTCTTGGGTTTAGCCTTCCCACCAACTTGGTAGATGATCCTAAGAGAAGGAACCAACCCCTGCCCTTACTAATCAATCTCTTGTTGTGTTTGTTCTGTTGCGTTCTCTCATTTTTGAAGAGTTGAAACACAATTAACCGATTTCAATACTTTCATCAAACCACAAAGAAAATTCAACTCTTAAGTTGTTGGGAGGTCATAAACTCCAGGCAAGCTCTACAACAGCATTACTTCTGTGTGATAATTTCAATGTGTGGCTCATCATTTCACATAAATTACCTGAATATTAAAATGTATGGTTTTGCTTACCTACCTTCATCCTACACTGTAAACTTTGTGAGGCAAGTAGAAGATATAATCCCCATAATACGGTCAATGCTAGCACTAAAAACAATCATAATTTATATTTAAGAAACATTTACTGGGTGCCTTATGAACTGCTTTACACACATCTAATTTAATTCTGATGGCAGGAGAGGTAGGTATGGTCTCCACGTAATGAATGAGAACACTAGCATAACCAAAGCAGCTGAGCCAGGGCTTGAACCAAGGTGAGTCTATTCCCACCAGTGCTCAGAGCCAATAGGCTATACATGACCATAGATAAGAAGCTATTGCAATCCTGTGCCAAATTTATAGGACTAGTTCTTGGTAGTCTTATAATGAAAAGACAGAGCTCTCAGCTCTCACACCAGTAAGTTTACTGCTGTGTTATAACTTTTACACATCCGTACTGCTTCAGTAAAGGAAACAAACAGCAAATTAGTAAACATGACTGATCTTGCTTTAATCTTTCTCTAGCTTCTAAAATTACCCCGTCATCTTTTTTGTTTGTTTAATGTTTGTTGAATTATGAAATTCACATAACATAAAATTAACTATTTTTTAAGTGAACAATTCAGCATTTGATACCTTTGTGATGTTGTACAACCACCAAATCTACCTATTTCCAAAATATTTCTGTAATTCCAGAATAAGGCCTCCTACCCAATAAGAGATTTTTTTTCCCCATTCTGCATGCCTCCAGCCCCTGGAAAAACATCAGTCTGCATCCTGTCTCCATGGATTTACCTGCTCTGAATATTTTGCGTAAATGGAATCATACACTACGTGACCTCTTGTATCTTCTTTCATTTAACATAATGTTTTCAAGATTCCTCCACGTTGTAGCATGTATCAACTCTTCATTACTTTTAATGGCTAAATAATATTCTACTGCATGGATATAGCACTATTTGTTTAGCCATTCACGCGTTGATGGACTTTTATGCTGTCTCCACCTTTGGATATTGTGAATAGTGGAACTATGCATATATATGTACTTGTCTGAGGATCTGTTTTCCATTTTTTTGGCTACCGAGTAATAGAATTGTGCAGTCATGTAATACTTCTGTGTTTAACTTTTGGAGGACCTGCCAAACGTTTCCACGTCAACTGAAGCATTTTATATTCCAACCAGCAATGTAAAAGTGTTCCTGTTTCTTCACATCCTTGCTAACACTTATTTCGTTTTTTATTACTATAGCCAGGCTAGTGTATGTCAAATGGTACCACAGTGTGGTTTTTATTTATATCTCCCTAATGATTACTAATGTTGAGCATTTTTCCATGTGCATTTTGGCCCTTTACATATCATCTTCGGAGAAGTGTCTTCTTGATTCTTTTGCCCAGTTTTATTGATCTCTTTGACCTTCTGATGTTGAGTTGTAAGATTTATTTATATGTTCCGGATACTGCATTTTGTCAGGTATATGATTTGAAAATATTTTCTTCATCCTGTAGGTTGTACAGACTTTCTTGATGATGTCCTTTGATGCACAAAAAAATTTTAATTGTGACGAAGTCTAGTTTATCTATCTTCTCAATTTATTTATTTTTTTCTTCTGCTGCTCATATTTTGGGTGTCATTATCCAAGAATCTTTCACCAGATTTAAGGCCATGAAGATTTTACCTGTATGTTTTCTTCTAAGAATTTAATGGCTCTAGCTCTTATATTTACATCATTAATTCATTGTGAGCTACTTTTTGTGTATGGTGTCAGGTAGGAGTCCTGTTTACTACTGTTTATTCTTTTTCTTTTTTTTTTTTTATTCCTTCCTAGGAACCCTTGGAAGCAAGGGACTGCACATTTTTAACCTGACTTCTCTAACCAAGTCTGAAAACATTTTATCTGCCACACTGTATTTCTATGTTGGGGAGCTAATAAACATCAGCCTGAGTTGTCCAGAGTCCCGAGGATGCTCACATCATGCTCAGAGGAAACACATGCAGATTGATCTCTCTGTGTCGATCCTTAAATCTGACAGAAACCAAAGTCAACTCTTCGGTCATCTTTCAGTAGATGTAGCCAAATCTCATCGAGACTTTGGATCCTGGCTGTCTAAAGACATCACTCAACTCCTGAGGAAGGCCAAGGAAAATGAGGAGTTCCTCATAGGATTTAATATTACCTCCAAAGGGCACCAGCTGCCAAAGAAGAGGTTACCCTTCCCTGAGCCTTATATCTTAGTGTATGCCAATGATGCTGCCATTTCTGAGCCAGAGAGCGTGGTGTCAAGCCTACAAGGGCACCGGAATTTCGCCACTGGAACTATGCCTAAACTGGCTAGCCATATCAGGGCTGCCCTTTCTATTGAACGCAGGAAGAAGCGCTCTGCTGGGGTCCTGCTACCTCTGCAGAACAATGAGCTTCCTGGGGCAGAGTATCAGTACAGGGAGGATGGGGTATGGGAGGAGAGAAAGCCTTATAAGACCCTTCAGACTCAGGCCCCTGAGAAGACTAAAAACAAAAAGAAACAGAGAAAGGGACTTCACCAAAAGAGCCAGACGCTCCAGTTTGATGAACAGACCCTAAAAAAGGCCAGAAGAAAGCAATGGATTGAGCCTCGGAATTGTGCCAGGCGGTATCTTAAAGTGGACTTCGCAGATATTGGCTGGAGTGAATGGATTATCTCCCCCAAGTCCTTTGATGCCTATTATTGCTCTGGAGCATGCCAGTTCCCCATGCCAAAGGTAGCCATTGTTCTCTGTCCTATACTTCCTACTTGCATAGAGTAGAAAGGCGCACTGACTGTGTATTTTCATTTACAAAGTCCATCTGGACACTTATTTATTGCCTTCTAATGTGCACTAGGCAATAATGGTTACACTTGCTTTTTCTTTAATGGTTGTTAACATAATACGAAGTCAGTATTGATATGAAGAAGGATATGAGGAAAAATGTATGTGTGAAATATGTTTTTTGTGTTGCTTCCAAACACAGTGCATATTCAGCGATGTGGTCTGTTCAGCTATGTGTGAATCTATGCCTGCCTACCTTAAGCAGGCCCCAAAGGACAGAAGGCTGATTTTGGAGGGAACGGTCAGAGAATGACTAGATGTCATGAGAAAAGGGAAGGGGAAGGCTTAATTGGATTGATGCCTGTGCAGAATATATTTTGATGAATAGTCTCTCATGAGATGGCCCTGGACCCAGCAGGGTCAGGATCAGGGCTGGGCCAGGTAAACTTGCTCATGAAATCCACCAGTTGCTTATTTCATTTGCTTCCCTAATAAACATCAAAAAGGAAGGTAAAATAGGATATGCTGACTCTATAAGTTTCTTCAAAAACTTACTCCAACTAGTCACAGCTTACCTGTCTCTTCCAAAATCAACAGAAACTGTACTTTATCATATCAGTACTCAGTATCCTGAGGAATATACTCTCAGAAGCTTCCCCCATCCCACCTCTGCCTTGCACGGCAAATCCAAGTGACTCTATTGTCTTTCAATTCAAAGTTAGTAAAATACAGTGATATCCGCTGACCTTCAGTTAAGCTTATCTCCGAAATACTATTCTTAGCTTACCACAGTGTGCATCTCTGCCATACAATAAAATGGGCTGTAGGAATAGAATTGGGAGAAAGAATAGAGTTCGGTACTTTTTGCTCTTTTTCTCAAAACTTGAAATGAATCAACTTTTGCTGCTCTAGAATAATGAAGAAAAAAATCTTTGCCTCAATGAGTGAGCAACTTCTGCTTATAACTCTTTAAAGTTTCGTGTTCATGTCCTAGTCCAATGATTGTTGGGATGTTAAATAGAACACGTGCACAAAAGTCAGACTGAACAAGGCCAGGTCAGCCTCAGCGCAAGGGACTTAACTGAAATCCCCATTATCTTATCAGAATGTCTCAGAAGGACAAGATTTCTATAGCGTCGAAGACTTGTCTTTCCCAAGAATTGTTGTCCATTCCATGTTGTGTAAATCTAAACACTAAGTACATTTACTGTGATGTAAACAGCCTTATCTTGTCTAAATATTCATAAAGGGTCTGTCACAGATCAAACAAAACTTGTCCCAACTAGGATAGCATTTAAACACACACCACAAAGATGCAGATTGTAACAGCGATGGGTTTCATTGCATGGGTTGCTTTGTGGCCTTGAGAGGCAAAATGAAATAAAAATCTTCCTCTAAACTCAGGATGACTGATTTTAAGTGGGGCTGTGAGTTTTCCAAATGATCTCTCATGCTCATAAACTGTAAATTCTTCTATGTAGCCTGGGGAAGGTGTTTTCCTTCCCAACTACAGGCATTAGGACCTAGGGAGCCATGGCAATGAGGAGCTGCTGAGTGAGCTTTCAACTTCTCCGCCTGGAGACCTGGTCTGGTCTCCACTCCACTCCAATTACCCCACCTTGATCCTCCCATCTCCTGTTGGTTACATTTGCCTTGACTGTTCAGAATCCTGCAGTTCTTCAGTAGATCCTCATGATAGTTCTCCATGATCCAAAGAATAATTATTTAAAACCTTATGAGGGATAAGTTAAAAATAACAGAGATATGTTCAGGGAGAGAAGGGTGTTAGTGCAACAGAATGATGAAGTGTATGTGCTCATGGCTGGGCTTCTTAACTTTCATGTGGCTACGGATTATCTGGGGATATGGAGGTTCTGATCCAGTGGCTCTGGGCATAGAGCCTAAGATTCTATGTATCCTAGTATAGCTCCTAGGTGTTGCTGATGCCACCAGTCCACAAAGCCCATTTTGAGTAGCACCATTGAGAGTTAAATCCTTTTGGCTCAAATCTTGGTTCTACTCTTACCAGCTATGGCTTTTGGGAGAAGTGACTCATACTGTATACAGTTGACCCTTGAATAATGTGGGGGTTGGGTCACTGATGCCCTTCACTGTCAGAAATCCATAGAGAAGTTTTGATTCAAAACTTAACCAATAGCCTACTGTTGATTGGAAACCCCATTGATGACATAAATAGTAGATTAAACATGTGTTTTCTATGTTGTGTCTACTCTATACTATATTCCTAACAATAAAGTAAGCTATAAAAAATGTCTAGAAATTCATAAGGGAGAGAAAATACATTTATAGTAGTGTATTTATATAAAAAAAATCACATGTTAGTGGACCCGTGCAGTTCAAACACATGTTGGGTAAAGAGCAACTGTATGTTAGTTTTCTCATCTTTGAGGTGGGCACAATAGTACCTTAAAAAACCCAACAGTATCTATATGAGAACAACAGTGGGGAAATAAAACGGTAGGATTCCTTGCACATAGCAGGTGCTCGATAAATATTTGCTACTGATATTATTATTAACGGTCATTGCTGAGACTGACAAGAACAGAAAATTAAATATAGGGGCCTGAAGAAAGATCAAATAGGGGAAGGGATCAAGAGAATAAAAGATGTAAGACAAGAAAAAGTTTTTTAAAATGTTTCTAGCCCCTTTTCAAACATCACAAAGCCTAAAATAGGATTCTCCCTGCAGGTTCAATAGCCTGTAAGCTCTTCCAGTAATGGTTTTTTGGAGAGTAATAGAATCAGGACAGCATTGGTTGCAACAACTGAACTCATCATAATATTTGTCCAAACTTGGAATGGCATCAGAACTCCAGGGAGACATAACAGGGATAAGTGTGGAGTTTCCTCTCTAAGCTTGAGATTTCCCTTTGCCAAGTTGAGAGTGGAAGTTTGGCCGTTACATGGAGTTCTCGGTCTCTCATCACCTTATGTGGATCTGCTTAACTTCTAAGGCTTTCTTGTGGTTCCCTTTGGCTTTCCAGGCCTTGTGGCTTTCAGGTGGTACAATAACCAAATAACCAAAAGGATGGGAGGCATGCAGCAATATGAAGCTGCTACATTCGGGGTAATCAATGAGCGTCGCTGTTATCAGCACAGCTTCCAACATGGTAGCCAGACTGAACTATTTAAACAGAAATAGAGTCCAGGCAACAGAGGATGACAAGGTCTCCGACCAGATCAGTACGAACACATGTGAAATGACTGGGGTGCCAAAGAACTTTTAGACTTTAGATATATTTACATTTTGCCCCAGAGGAAAGTTCTCCCAGGCCAGACTCCTCTGCTGGCCCTCCTTCCTTTTGGCCTCCTGAGCAAAAGCCTGCTCTACATGGCGGGGCTCTCCATCTGCAAAAGTTGACAACCTGTTCTGTAATTCAGAACAGCTGTGTCCTGCCTTTCCCAAATTCCAGGCTTTGCCCTTTCACTGATTCCAATTAGATAGTTTCTGGACTATCACACCCATGTGGGCTGGACTGGAAGAGTGTGGAGCAAAACCCCACGGCCCAGGTCAGGAATGAAGGCTCCTAGCTGATGACACAGCCTCCCTTACTAATGCGTTCGACTCGAGGACATCATGTGCAGCTTGGCAGGTGCGGGCCGGACCACTGCAGATTTCATTCACAGACACGGCCACGTGGATGTTTCTGATTTCTAGCCCCTGCAGCCAAACTGTTCTCCCAGGGAGAGACCCCTGGACTTCTGCCACGAGATGAAAAATACCCATAGAGCTAAAGCCAAGTCCTATGCCTCTGCTTCCCCCTCACCACATTAGCAAAGATGGAAAACAGAGATTGCAAATGAAATGAAAATGATTGAGCTGTTGTTGCTGACCGAGATGCAAGAGAACCAACAAGGATTAGAGGAATGGAGTTAATTTTGCATGGAATGGTGTTATTTTCACGTGGAATGGCGTGAACGCTAACAATAGCAGGGACACAGAACTAGGCAGCAAAGGATCTAAACCCTTGGAACCAAATATCCTATACAAAGAAGAAATTCACATTTAATGAGTTCAAAATAATACACCCTCAGTTAATTTCCTAAGTTTCCAATTCCAACCTTTGATCATGAAAAAATTACCTAAAAATCTTAAATCTTGATGTACTGAGTTACCCACACAGAAACTCTCTAGACTGACATTCAAGTCATGTTTTACACTCATTAAAGAGAGAGACTAGGGAGGGAAAAAACACAGATTTCTCTTGTGATTGACAAATTTCTCAAGCTACATAAAGAGTCTGAAAAGTATGATCTGAACTCAAAAACAAACAAATTATAGATTGGCAACATGCTTCAAACGAGCAATTACTGCATGGATCTTTTGTGCATGACATAATCATTCCTGGTAATGGCAGCTTGATCAGAGGATTCCATAGTGAGAAAAAAAAAAACGAGGGCAACTCCCTAGCAAATTGAAAGCTCCTGATAAGACACACCAACCCAGAGCTAAGGGCCCATGCCTGAATTCCAGCGAGCCCACCGAGACTGTTCATAGTTTCTGAGTCTATCATTTGTGAGTTAGAGCTTTAAAAAAAGGACAGGAATTTTCCTAGGAAACACCCATGAATATTTTCCATATCTACTCTGGGTCATTTGCACAGAAACTTTTATTTTTGTTGATGGTTATTATTTCCACAGAAATAGGTAAAGTGGAGGGTATGCTATTTCTTATGAGTATTTCGTCCATTTTGCAAGTATTTATTCAGTGCCCAGAGCATGCCCCGTTCCAGGCACCGGAGAATAGCAATACACAGCAGTATTGGTCAACTGAGACCTCATCTACTTAAATAGATCCACTTCATATGAAATTTCAATATTATAGGGGTCATTAAAACATTAAAAATTACAGAATAATGTCAGAAAATCTATGGCTTAAAAATATCCTTTGGTGCCATTAGTATAAGTTATTTGGATCACCGAGTCTTAAGAATAAATCAACAGAGAAAAGTGGATGGCTGCGAAAATTTTCGTTGGAAATTACCAATACTGATGAAATAATAGACAATGGCTGTTGATCTCTATTGTACAATAACAATTAAAGTTTGGCTCAGTTACACAGATTTTATTGATGTTGTAAGGCACATGATATGCAAAACAGAACATAGACTTCCTTTCCTTAAAGGGAGAATACTGGCTTTGCGAAGCTAATTGATTGAACATGAACAATCCTTTCCAACATATACTGAAACTTTGCAGGAAGAAAGAGGAAAAAACCAGTTGCCCCTCATTAAGACCGTGTTTTAAATAATTTGTGCCTTTTCACAATAAAGTTAAAGTCTAATATGGATAATGTCTTTCATTAACGTTGAAAGATGGGATGAGACAATTTGGATTTGCCCTTTCTCTGACAAAAATAATCCTTTTCCTTTTTTTAAAATAGAATGCCAGCTTTTCTATAGTATTTGCTTCTTCCTTGGTCTGTATTTACCTTAACCTTTAAACTTGTTCCAGTTTCCCATACTGGGAGTTTTAGGAGTATGAAATTAAAATACCAACTGCCTCTGAGCCATGAGAAAGAAACATGGCTTGAAGTCTTGAAATTAAAACCCCAGAGTTTTGGCCTAAATCCCACTTCTGAATCAACATGTGATCTCTGGCAAGTTACCAGATTTCTGTTTTTAGATCTATTTAAAATACAACTGGTTTCACCTGCCTAAAAGAGACATTGGGGAAAACGAATGCTGGAAAGCGCAGCATCTCCCCCGAAGCAGGTCATACCATTCTGGCAATACCTGAACATTCTGGGCATGAAAAGCGACTGTCCTTCGATGCTGAGCAGAGAGCTGCATGGCACTCTAAATAAAATCATATGTGTCACGTGGATGTCAATGGTTCCATTTGGCATTTTCTCAGGAATGGATTTTACCCAGGCTTCTTTGGTCAAACTCTGATACCCATGGAATAAACTTAGGTTCCCTCTATTCCCAGAGGATAGATAGGGCCCACTCCTAGAACACTTTTAACTCAACCACCTTAAAGGCTGAACCTGTGGAGCAACAGTGACCCCCAGTGGCCAATGGGGTGGTCTTCTTAATGTCAGGTTGTGCTCCCGTGTCATGAATGAATGAATTACACAGTGGAGTAATTACCATCCAATCCATCCCGGTGCCAACTAGTAAATAAATCAATGTTCCTTGATGTGCTTGGTTTTATTTTTTTTTTTGAAGCTTGGTTTTATTTTAACAGCAAAGTATAAATATCACTATATCAGTGGCAATAACATATCTATGTTAAATAGGTTGTTTGTCAGGGTTCATTATGATTAGCATAGATTCGAGAACAAATCGTTTTTGTGGCAATCCTGTTATTGAAGATGTCCTAGGATGTATTAATCCACTATTTGGAGACTAAGTTGTTTTTAAGTAAATGATTCTGGTTTAGATAACTGGATTCAAATCCTCACTCTATCACTTAACTGGTTATTTGACTTTAGACATGTCATCTGAGTTTTTGAGCCTGTTTCTGTCCTTGTAAAATATTTTTAAAAATGTTAGTTTTGTTATAAGGATTAGAGATGCCATGTATAACACACTTGGCACATAACAGGTACTCAATAAATGATAACCATTATGATGGTGGTGATACAGGAGATTGTGCCAAATAGTGACACAGGAGATTGTGCCAAATGGGTAATGATGTCAGAGTATTATTAAGTTGCTGAAACGAATTCATTTTCTATGTATTTTTCTGATGAATGGTGAAGAGTGGAAAAGCAGTTCCACCTAACTTACATGTTCTTTTCTCATTTCTTTTCTAGTCTTTGAAGCCATCAAATCATGCCACCATCCAGAGTATAGTGCGAGCTGTGGGGGTCGTGCCCGGAATTCCTGAGCCTTGCTGCGTGCCAGAAAAGATGTCTTCACTCAGTATCTTATTCTTTGATGAAAATAAGAATGTGGTACTTAAAGTGTATCCTAACATGACAGTAGAGTCTTGTGCTTGCAGATAACCTGGCAGAGAACTCATATGAATGCTTAATTCAATCATTTGTTTATTTAATGGACTTTACCCCTCCTCTTTTTTTTTTCCGCACTGCCAATGCATTTCATCCTAAAAGATTTTTTCATAGTCAAAGAGAAAGAGCAAATAGACTGACGATTTCCACCAGGAGAACTGGACTGCGTTTGTTTCTGAATGTAACTCATTGTGAGATTTTAGTAAATATGGACATTTGTTTCTTGTTTTAAAAAAAATCATGAAAGAAAAATGATCAAACTGTTTTTAGAGCTATTAGAGGACACACTGATTTATTTTTGTAATGGGCTTGATAATATGTTGGGATAACACCAATAGCTAATCACTTAGCTGTACTCATTGAGAATAGAAACATTTCATATTTTGAAGTAAGCTTATTGCCATAGATTCCTAAGTGACTCAGCAAGTGCTAAATAATCCAATCAATGTTTGTTTATCTTAGAAACATTTAAGACTCTTGTTTACCTGTGTCTTTCCTCCATGTGTAATTGCGTGAATTGATGAGTGGAGAGTGTATGCGTATGTATGTGTGTACTTTGCTAGGTGCCTGTGTCCTCTGTAGGAAGGTTTGCTTAACCTGGTTTTATAATTCAGTCTACACAGGATTCTTTGATTTCTTCATTTCATGTTCTGGCAAGCACCATTCAATTATGAGAACTTCACCAAAAAGGGTAGAGTGATCCAAGAGCATATGCAGAGAGTTACCACTTGGCCCGGCCTTGCAATTTGAAATACAGTTGTTTTCATTTCATTGCCTCCTAGAAAAAGGAACTAGCAACCCAATTTTCAAAAACCCAGATGTATTTCTTTGTCATAAGTACCTGCGTTTGCTCTTTTAAACTGAATTCAAAACTTCAACTAAATTTTTTAAATTAAATTAAAATTACAGTGTTCTTGATATGTCTTTACTCCATGTGAAGTAATCCATAGATACAGAGGCTCAAAAACTAATAGAATATTGGATATTTCTTTAAATGACCAAATTAATCACAGTCACATGTCGAATATCATTCTCCGGTGACATTCAGGGCCAGACACCTTTTCATGTGGACCAAGGTTCAACCATAAATCTACATTTTAGCAAATTATTCACCCAAAAAAGGAAGTCAAATATAGACACTTTGGGTTTTTTTTGCCTACTTCTATGTGTCATAAATATCCTTATACTTTGCCTTTGAAAACTTGTTTCAAAAATCTCTCTCTCACTAAATTCACATGTGTGACAAAAATGTTTGTTGTTGATGTCATATCTGTGGTTAATAGTCCTTTTAGTTGAGTCTTACCTGAGCAGAGACAACTAAGCCATTTCAGAGGTGGTGAAGTATCAGAAGACATAGAGTTTTGTTCTCTCTCTTCCAGTAGCTACCTATCTTGGTTCATCATTTAATAAATATTTATTGAGCATTTATTCTGTAAAAGGCATTGTTTTAACTCTGTGTCCTTAGCATCCTCACTGATAAAATGAAGAGTTTGACTAGTTGAGCTAGAAGGCCTTTCTGACGCAGAAAGTTTGGGCTTTTACTACTAGATTTCATACACATCTTCCTTGAATGGATGATACTGATAGATCTAAAAACACTGCAAGTATCTCTGTTCATAAACCAAAGGCAAGAACATTCAGTCTTCAGCGTTTGGGAGTGAGTATGAAATTCTCTGTGGTTTAAGTCATATTTCTAACGTTCCAACTTATTAGAAATCCATTTAAAGAAGATTACTATGAACAGAAGCTCTTTGACACTTTTGGAGTACACAGAGGTTGGTATGAGTGTGTATTATTAACTCCATGAATGAGACACAATAGTTCTGAATAATAAATTAAGCTCTGGTGCCTGAATTACTGTGGTTTCTTATAGCTCACTTTTTATTCTGGTAGCACTATCTTAAATATTTGAAATGAGATAGGCGATGGAATTACTTTTGATAATCTTTATCAACAATTTGAAAGTAAAATTATATAATAGAAGTGAGCCAGTGTATGCCAATCGTATCTTGGTCATACCATCTTTCAATAAAGAAAACTTCTTTTTCACTGGCAGAAATGATTAAATTCTTAGTTTATTTTTTTTTAATTTTTTATTTTTTTTTAAATTTATGATAGTCACAGAGAGAGAGAGACAGAGAGGCAGAGAGGCAGGCTCCATGCACCAGGAGCCCGACGTGGGACTCGATCCTGGCTCTCCAGGATCGCGCCCTGGGCCAAAGGCAGGCGCCAAACTGCTGCGCCACCCAGGGATCCCAAATTCTTAGTTTAGATTTTCCTCTAGCAGTTCTCATCATTACTTTTCAGCCTTCTATCCAGATGTCTATTACCTTTCTTAATTTTAGTTGATAACCACTTCCTACAGATTAAATCCTACAATGGCCAGAAAAGCCTCTAAATAATAAAAATTTATGAGTATAAACTAAGATTTTAAGTAGCAGTTTATATAACAAAATTACAACATAATTAAAGAGCTTGGTAGTCTTTTAGCAATCTAAATATTTTTTGACCAGTAGTTATTTCTGAGTGGCCTTGTAACCATCATTTCACTACCAAATTGAGGACATATTTTGCTATAAACAGGAAAAAATTTTATTCCCCCAAAATAAAGGAAGATTTATTTTCAGTCGAAGGGGTTGAAATAAATGAAATGGTGTTTTAACTAATAAAAATTTATTTGAAATAGTTGGAAAATTGACTATTTCACAATTTCTTAAGTACTAGTGTATGCATAATTTTTGCATAGACTTTTTATAAATCTCCTGCTATAAAAGTGGCAATGGTCTAAGAAGAGAAATTATGTTTAGAAATGCCATTTCCTAAATAATGCGTCTACATCTGTCCCTCCCTCCTCTCTCTCCTGTTCCCCCCTTCTCCTTCCCAACCTCCATTCCATCCCCATTCCTAGACATCACACACACACACACACACAGTCATTTAAAAATGAATTTTTTTCAATAACTATTTTCTTAAATTCAAATTCAGAGGCTGCTGATGTCAATATAGAATTTTCAAATATCTTACTATAAGCTGTGTAGATAACATACAATTTACAAGATTTGTGATTGTGGAATTTAAACTGGATGATTGGAATCCCCAGATCTCAGGACTACAATACTCCAGATACATTTTTACATTCACCTAGCTGTATTTTGACTGATGATCATTTATTCATTAAGAAAAGATTTTTTACCTTAATATTTCTGGGAAAACTCTTGTTGCCTGTTTAATATTTTTATAGACAATCATATGTGTATGATACTATTATCAGTCTGCAACAACATTTTTTTTCTATAATTACACTATTCAGTTTAGTCTTCCTGCTTTCACTTTTCTCTGTGCTAACAAGTAACTAATATCTGGATGTTGACTTCTTGTTGAATCAAGGTTGGGTTAAACAATAGCTATGCACATAAGTGTGTAAGATTAGATATGAAATTAAATAAGAAAGTTTGGATAAATCTCATTTCTCCGTATAGTGTCTTTTCCCCTTGAGAATCATATTTTAATGTAGTTTATGAGTGATTAAATGATCCCCCTTTTCCGGAAACCTAGCCTTCCCTCAGCTTTTCACACTAGCTTCTGTAAATGTTTTAGTCCAGAATTTAATGCTTGTACAGTTAATGCCAATTTAAAATATATATTTTATATATTATATATATATATGGGAAACTTTAAAGGTGCTTTTAATTTATTTAATGACTGTTGCTTTTCTATAATGGTAATTTTCATCCTTAGAGGGTGAGAAAAAATTCTTTTTATTATAGTTATTACATGCAAAATGAAATTCGGTTCTTTAGTCAAATCCACTAAAGGGGCATGTTGCAGTGAAACTGTGCAGGACATTTCACTACTGATGTATAAGCTTTGCTGACTTTGTATCATTTTCCTCCAGTAATAAGATCTTTTCATTATATAGTATGAAAATAAAAATTGCTTAATTGAATGCTTCCCCATTCTTTACTATTAATTGGGAAAGACTACATTTTCAAAACTTTTTCCAACTATGCTGCATTTGAAAAGAGGTGATAAAGGTTGGGCCCAGAATTGAAGATTTTCCAATGATATCATAAATGGAACATCATAACCTACTATCAACAAAGCATGATTACAATGTGGAACAAGACTGAAATACATCCAGAAGGGGAAAACTTACCTTTCTAAACTGGAGAAACTGAATCTGAATTATTTTGTATTTGTTTGGTTTAGTATTTCCTGTTTAACCACAGAGTCCCCATTTCCTAATTGGAGGTATTTTTTTCTGGGTGCCTGACTCTATTTTGACAATAACATTATTTTAGGACATATTGTTGCCATCTTCTAGGTACATTTTAGATGATAAACATCTAAATGTAATTAATCTGATAAGCAAGGTATATTGCTCTATTTTTGTTTAAGCTCTAGCTTTCCCTTTAAGAAAAAGAAGGACTTGAGGTTCAGAAGTAAAAATATACTTTCATATTATTTTCACTCATTTAATCTATATCAAATTTATTCAAACTGTGAAGTCTAATTAAAATCTATAGCATTTTGGAATTATAAGGCACTTTAAAGATTATCTTGAGCAAGTTTCTCCACCTCTCTGTGCCTTGTTTAACTCACCTATAAAATGGGGCAATAAATTTCCTGTCTTATAAAGTTGTGACAAAGTTTAATAAGGCAATACATGCTTTGTATGTATGGCAATTAATTTGCCAAGTGCTTGAAACAGAATACTTGGTTACTATCTATTATTATTGTTGTTATTATTATTATCTAATCCAGTCCTCCCATTTTCCAAATAAGGAAATGTAGACTTGCTATCTATTTGGATGTCTACTGACTATGCCCTCCCTAAAAATTGGCTCCCACCAACAGAGATGGGTTTCTTGACACATGACAAACATGAGCATCGGACAAGAGTTGAACAAATGTTGGTAAAGCTGGGAGGATATTTAGCAGCAATGCTACCAAGGAGGGTTGTAACTCTTTTGCATCAGGCATATAAGAAAGTTTTCAAACTCAGCATTCAGAGAGAAAGAATGAAATGGGCACAAATAGAGCATGGAGCTTCACAGAGGAGATAGAGTAGCTGCCTTGTTTCCTGACGATATTATAGTTTCCATTCCTGCCTCTCATAAACTGTACTTCCTGTCCTTAGATTACGTGAGGTATCCATGCAAACTCTATAAAGTTTCCACTCTTAATTAAGCAGATTTGAGCCAATGTCTGTAAATTGTATCCAAAAAGGATTACGAAGACAATATATTGAACCTTGAGTATATTCAGTGCTATATGACAAACTACTGGAAAAATTGGGATTCAGAACCCTGTGTAACATTATGGGGAGAGCTTGATCTTTGAGATCAAACAGTCTTGCAGTGGAATCCTTGTACTGCCAGTTATTACCAGGGTGACAGGTGCCTTTGAGGAATATTGATGAGTTCATCAAAACACCGGGGTGGTCAGTTCTGTGACTAATAATGACTTCCAAAATAAGTCACTATTGTAATAGGTTGACTCAATATTTGTGCCAGAGGATTTCCTTGATATATCTCTTAAGATTGATCTTTGTAGCTATTAGAAGATGTGGTGGATATTGGGGTAGAGGATAAGAACTTTGAGCACAAATCCACATCATCTTAAAAATTATTTTAGCATTACCAAAGATTGCTCACATTGTACAAAACCCTGTCTTAGTTGGTGGAGATGTGATTGTTGAAATAGAGTATCAATATCTAAATTGTCTACCGTCTCAGAACTGGAGATTAGCTGTATGTAACTATTATCAAGTGAACATCAACCAGTAAGATTAAAACAGAATAGGAAAAAGCACAATGCCAGAGGTTTTATACATTAGGTCCACAACATACAAAATTAAGAATACATGAAAATTTCCTTCGTGCTCTTTTGTTCAAACACACTCAAATAGATGTTCTCATAGTATGAGTTTTTAAATTGAGTTTTAGGGGGTTCTAATATTTGTATTAGAATGTATCAGTTGCATTTGCTGTAACCTTGGATTCTAGTTCCATTATTGCTAAGCTCTGGGATTGTGGGCTTTGCTATATTGCTTCGCCTCCTGGTGGCTTCAGCTTTCTCTTAGGTGGTCTTTAAAATCTCTTCTTGCTCTAGTACACTAGGTTCTATAATCCAAACATCCTTACTTAATCACAATTCATAAGCATTTCAGTCATGATTGTGTCTTAGGAAAAAACAATAATAAGAGTAAAAATGAAAGGAGAAGTGGGGAGAACATGAGAAAGAACTAAGAAAATAGGAAATAGGTCACCTTCCCTCGACTTAGAAGGAGGTCACAAATTCTACCTCACTTCCATCATGGGATGGCATCTGCCAGACTCTTGAACCTTTCGTACCTATACTTAAAACGTTCATTCTCTCATTTTAATAGCAAAATCAAGCTTTAAAAACTAGATTTATCCATAGGCCCGGAGGGTATCATGCTAAATGAAATAAGTCACACTGAGAAAGACAAACACCCTCTGATTTCATTCATATGTGGAATCTAAAAAACAGAACAAATGAATAAACACAGAAAAAGCAGAATCAGACTGATAAATACAGACAATAAACTGACAGTTGCCAGAGGGAAGGAAGGGATAGACAAACAGGGTGAAGGGGAGTGGGAGATACAGGCTTCCAGTTATGGAATAGATAAGTCATAGGGAGGAAAGGCACAGCATAGGGAATATAGTCAATGATAGATATTGTAATAGCCTTAGTAAGGTGGCAGATGGGAGCTATACTAGTGGTGAGCACAGAGTAACATGTGGACTCGTCGTGAATCGCTAGGCTGTACACCTGAAAGTAACATAACATTGTGTGTCAACCACACTCAAATAAAGTTAAAAGGACCAACGATAACTTGATTTATGTAATGTTCTTTGTAAAGAGAGTACAGCATGGGAGTTACGAGCTTAGGCTTGGAGTCAGACTATTTGCATCAGAATCTCGACTCACCAGCTTGCACAAGTTATAAAAACTCTCTGTGCATCTATGTCCTCATGTGTAAAATAAGAAGGAAACACAGAACCTACCTTGCAGAGTTGTGAGGATTACTTGAGTTGTTAACAAATGAAACACTTATAAATATTCACAGTGAAAAATAATTTTTTTTTGTAGATTTTATTTATTTACTTAGAGAGACAGAGGGAGATAGTGAGAGACAGCACGAAGGCGGGTAGGGGATGGCAGAGTGGGGAACGGGAGAGGGAGAAGCAGACTCTCTGCTGAGCAGGGAGCCCAACCCTGATAAGGCTCCATCTCAGGACTCAGGGATCATGACCTGAGCCAAAGGCAAATGCTTAACTGACTGAATCACCCAGGCGTCCCCAAAGTAAATGTTTGATAATATTAGCTTTTTGATGCATTAAATGTACTTTATGCATTTCCATGAGTGAGTCCTCCTTTGATCTGGGAAGTAGGGTCTTAGGTATTGGTCTCAGTTTATTCATCAGGGAGAATATTTGATCTAAACAAGGTTAAGAGCCATGCTGGTGTCGGAGCTGGGATTCAAGTAGTAGTAGATTGCTCTGATTGTCCTCCTATTCTTTTAAACTTTGCTTCAGATGCCTCTTCCGAAAGAGAGCCATCAGAGTAAATATTTTCTGAGTTTAGAGAAATATTAAGGAAATAGACAAAAGCATCAGATAGGGACTAAAATATAAGTTTTAATAAATGCCATGTTTGATTAGTGTTTGGATCTGAGGCTGTTTGCGTGAGTTGAATTTCCTGCCCAATTGCAGGCAAACCTCAAAGGGCATGGAGACCAGCTGGTGAGCTAAGGTCCTGAAAGATGGAAAATGTGTGTTTTGAGTAGCTAATTCTGAAAAGGGAAAAAGTCCTAGAGGAGCCGAGCTGTGCACTTGTGATTGCCTTTTCCCCACCATCAGACAGGTAAGTTGGCCCCCTTCAAAAGAAAGGATGGAGATAGGAATGGAAAGTATTGTTTCAGTACTTTCCTGGAAGAGAGTACACAGGACTCTTGTTCCCTGTATAGGGAAACTGGAGGAAAAGCCTCCTTTCTCCAACTCCTACAGTGCTATCACAATGGGAAATAATGCCCTTCCCTACATCCCGTTAAGCATGAAGAACCCAAAAGTATAAGTTTATAATCTTTGTTTATGATCTTAAATCTTAACCTGGCCTCAACTGAGAACTCTGGACCAATTGGTGGATGGCCAATTTTCACTCTGTCCCTGTTTGGGTCAGCTACTGTCTTCCCATGGGGAAGAGCCAGGAGAGAAGGGAGAAGCAGGACATGTCTTCTACCACTGTGCCCTCTTAGCAAGCAGGGTAAAATTGAACCCCATTCACAGAAAGGTGAAGAACGGGGTAAAAGTGACCAGACTAACATAAACTATGTTATGAACCATCTCCTATCACTTTTTAAAATTTTAGTGAACTTTTATTATGAATTGAAAAGTAACAAATATGGTATATGGTAATCATTTCAGTTAGCTGTTGGGATTTAGTTTTGTATGAATTACTCTGCTCTGTTTTTTATAAGATTTTATTCATTTATTTATTCATGAGAGATGCACACAGAGAGGCAGAAACATAGGCAGAGGGAGAGGCAGGCTCCCTGCAGGGAACTTGTTATGGGACCCGATCCCAGGACCCTGGGACCCCGAAGGCAGACGCTCAACCACTGAGCAATCCAGGCATCCCATGTCTTGTTTATTATTCTTATTTTCTTCAGGACCTTCAAAATATCTGGAAAAAATAATCTGACTTTGGTTACCTTGAGTCCAAGGCTATAGTGGTCTGGGTATTTGAGCTTCAGCCTGTGGGACGAGGAGTCTATTCTGTGAAAGAGTTGGAAGCTGCTATAATTAACAAGGTTAGAATACGAAGCACACTTCTCCCCACT